CATCACGGAGTACTATTGAGGCGGCCTGCTTCCATATTAATTTCTAAAGAGAGCAGCATTTTCCAAGGAGAGATAAGATCAATTTGTAACCTGAAGGGAACCTCATCCGCGTCAATTACTGTTAGCTATTTTAAAGTTTTTGGTTTGTATAAAAGAGTGGCCGGTTATTTTTAGGAATTTGCATATTAAACTCTGTTTGAAGTAATTCCTAAAGAAATCGACCTATGAGAACCATTTACTTGGAACAGTTTGTGTATGGTATTTATTGTTAAGAAGCGAATTCAAACAGAGGATTATGGCTATTTTATTTCATTGATTGGAAAATTTGCATTTAATTCCTTTGGTTGGATTCAAATTTTTGTTTGGCATTCAGAGGTGTGTGTATATTTTGAACAGAAGAATGTACCAGCAATTGATTATGTAATAAAGATGAATTTTAGATAACTATCCAATTTAGCACGGATACGTGATCACGAAATGTTCATTGCATTTTTTGTATTCCTTTTTATGAATCAAACCAATATTTTACATCCAGGAACGGGTAAAGAAACATGGAAATTGATTGTTTTTATACGCATATTTATTCGAGATCAATCAAACCAGAGCATCAGATTTTGAATGTCGGGTTTTAAGAGGGGAATAAGGGCCAAACTTCCGCAAAGTTTTAAAACACTGATCGACCAAGAAAATTCTGATGCCTCGTAAAAGACGCACTTTGGTAGGTCACGCGTGGTCACGTACTTTGTTTATTTAACTTCTCACTTTTCAATTAGAAATTTACTTTATTAATTATTGTTAGATATTGGGTAAGAGATAAAAGGTAGGTAAATGTTTATTTATGTGGGTAATTTTCTTATACGCCTAAAGCTGAATTCATTAGTATTGATATACGAATAAGTATGAAACTACCAAATGAATTCCCTACATCAAAATTATATAAATTATATAAATAAATGCAAAATAAAAATAAATAAAAATAAAATTATCATATTTTGAATTAGGCTACTTTCTGCTGGTGAAGAAAAAAGTGCTAAGACGATTATGATCATGTTTTGTACAATCATACTCTTGTAGTTGTGGTGGTTTACCCAACGCTAAGACAAGTAGGCCTAACGAAGTCAAAATGACGTTTTACTCGCATGCAACATCCCTGGTAGCGAGTATTTCACATGATGCTTATTTTAATTATCTTCTAAAACTCTCATATAAAAAATAACTTTACATAACATAAACGTGCAGCACCTAAGGCATGTAGACTTGCTACGAAACCCAACTCGAGATTACTGCATCAAAATTTCCCCAAAAGTATTCGAAAGCAACTCGATATGTACAAAATTTGCACATTTCATGCAAATGGTGACGACAAAAGTCATTGGTAAATTCCATTTATATTTCCAGAGACGATTGTCGCCATTGGAAAGTTAGAGACGATTAACACTGTCAGAAGGCCTCACGTTATTGAGAAAATGCGGATGCGAAACTTACAATAACATCTCAATTAAGTTAAAAACCTTGGGCAGATATGTAGGTAGTTATGGCGTGCGGAATATGTGGCGTAGATGACAAGTACTGGAGTGAAGTGGAACCTTCTTGGCGAAGAGGATACGATAATCTCAAATTAATCAATCACTCTAATGCAAATTTGTTGAACAATTTACATATTTTATTGCATCGCTGTTTTAGAACAATATGTTTTAATCGTGCTTCTCATGGTTTACGCAAATATGTTTTAAATACATACTTGTAAATGCTAATCATGGGTTAGTTCTATGTAAACATGCCATTAAGGAAGTAGGATGGTATTGCGAGGCATAATGAGTATTTGTATGCTTGATCGCAAAATTTGAAATAATCGGTTGCGTTCCAGATGGAAAATCTCCTACACTGCAATTTCGAGCGTCTTTTGACAACCTGAATGTCTCACGTCATTCAGCACATACTGTCCAGCAGTACAGGAGTTGAACACGTACAGCAAAAATCTTGAGATTCGGATATCGCACACCTATAGCAAGCATAATACCTTAACACCATAAATGTAGCCATGCAGGACTGCCAGACAAGGTCCCTGTCTAAGAAACTAAGAAGAGATCGCCCAGTTTTTACACCAACTTCAGTATTTAAGTACCTCTCCGACTACCAAAATTCGAAAAAACTTCTTCCAATTCACGGAACAGCCAATCAAAGCTCAGTTTCTGGACGCCCCTTAAGCCACGTATCAAAATTTTACGCGGAATTCTCTTATCTCAGATTCTTATCGCTAGTAAATTACATCAATCTTTTAACAAAAGTAATCAATGTGACCATAAATTAAAATAGAACTGTCACTTAAATTGATTGAACGATAAATTTTCCTACATTTAACAATTCTAGGGAATAATTTTTACAAGGAAAAAAAAACCACTTGTATATAACTAGATCGCAATACTCGCTCAACTAAGTAAATAAGTTGAGAAGACAATGTGACTAACAATTAAAGAGCCGTCATTAATTCAGGCGTCTGAACCCTAACCTCAACGTCCACATCGACATATACTGTATTCATTTTAAGAAGGTAGCGGTAGAAAGCATAGTGAAGCTTTGATCTTCACTGTGATTGGTTAAAACACGAGCCAGTATTACAATGAAACATAAAACGACTGGTGAATTTTGCAAGTTGGTAGTTTATGTTGCCAACTAAACTGCCGAAGTGTCATTAGTTGTTATTGTGAAAGATTTATTTCTGTTCGCAGTGCTGAATATTTCTACTTTACAATAATTTGGTGCCGTTTTATATTTTCTTATAATGAATGCAGTATAGTTTATATAGCAATATATACCAGCTGTTTGAGGAAGTTACTGTTAGGCAAATTTGTTGAATATTCCTTAGTGTTGGGCGCGATTTGTCCAGGTAGCAGGATTTTTTGGTGAACAATTTTGCTGAAAAAGTATCCCAACACGTGTCATTCGAAATCTTCAAAGGAATTAGGATACCCCTATGCCGACGGCTCTCGCACTAACAACAAGCGGGAAAAACACGATCTCGGAACACCAGCGTAGCAATACAAACCTTGCACTCAACATGGCAGGATTCCTTACTTTGTAAAAGACCAGGTCGCAATCCCTTGTACCCAAGCTTACTATCGGAAAAGTGGAACGCAAATAATACACAAACGTGTGGGATGACTCAAAATGCCAAAAGAGTTCCTACAAAGTTGGTCAGAATGCATTTAAAGCCGTGTTCCCCAAGAATGTCAAACTGACTTTCAAAATAATTTGAGATCTGAACGCCAGAAACCGAGAAAGGGCCATCAATTCTAGAGTAGATATATAACGCCAAAAACATTCCTTTTCCTTTAAAATTTAGCAAGGACAGAGGTTGTTGATTAGTTACCAGTAGGAGACTCCTTGTAAGACCAATTCTTTGAGAAAAAAAATTGTTAGCAAAGATGAAGGTAAGCAGATATCAGGAAAGAACCGCAGCACTGTTTTGTAGAAATGTGCAACTTCTGTCGTCGCTGCAAAGAAAATGGGGAGATAAGGAAAAATGATGACATTTGCAAGTAGACCCTTTCCAAAGAATTTATAAAAAAACAGAATAATAAAGTGAATGAAAAATGAACTAAATGATCACGCAAGAAATATAGTTCTCAAATTAAAAAAAAATAGATGTTACACTATAACGGTTCTTGTTTGGAAGAGCAAACAGGTCAACTGAGTGGTGGGTAGTTTTTACATTGAAGTCAAAAAAAGCTATTCTGATTTAGACCTATCACAATTTTGCAGGTCACTTTGGGTCAACGAAACCTGTAGCAATGCCGTAGAATTGGTATACGCCTGGTTTGGAGAAAAAGGTGATTTATGCCAAAAAGCGAAAATGAAGAATCAGAAGCAAGAATGTTAAAGTCAATGATCTTTAGGTTTCGGTCCAGTACCGAAGAGCTAAGGAGGCGATGATCACCTTTTTAATAAAAGTGGAAAAATATCCCAAACTTTGTTTAAAAAATAGGTCAGCCACACTTGGTTTGGTCAAAGGCAAACCCAATTTTCGATCAATCTCGTACAAATCCCGCAGGATACTATAATAAGTATGGGGAAAACACTTTAGTCACGAATTTCCGAGAGAAAATTGCACTTTAATTACAACGTTGCACAATCCAACAATCAATATTGATCTGGTGACTCGATTTTTTGACATAGCGAATTAGCATTGTCAAATCACTTTCACCGTATTAATGCAAAAAGCAATACAATGCAAGGATGTTCGTTGACAGTTAACCGCTTTTTAAGTACCTACCGAAATTAGTTCTGCCACATCGTTATTAACAATATTGGTCACAAACACCACGACAAACTATTTTCTAGGTGTAACGTCCTGTTTTATGTTGTAAAAATATATGCAGACAGACCTGCATTGATTGCTAATGCGCGTATTGAATTCAAGGAATTACCAAGGATGTGTTACAAGTACTAATTGATTATCAGTTAGTCATTCGGAACATTTCACTTCAATTTTGCAAAAATTTCAATTCCAGAAGCGTAATTCGTGTACCGAATTTATCGATTATGTAATTTATTGCACGTTTATTGCTTTATTTGTTTATTATTTTACGAAATCGGCTGTTTGCAATTTCGCCCGGGGGGAGAATTTAAATGACGCCTGATATTGATACTGACCTTAAAAGAATTGTTTGATTGTAAATATTTAATTTTTAATTAATTTCAAAGGAAGTTAGCAGATCTTCTCATTATTACTATTGTTTATTAGATGTTATTCTTAATTGGATGGTTATACGTCTATTTCAAGTTCATCTCAATTAAGTAATTATATTAAAACAATGTAAGATGTGGTTAAACATTTTTATTAAAAGTTTAATTAAGTTATTATGTAACAGTGTCACTTTGAAAGGTTGGCCAAATAGAAGTTTATGCACAAGTTCGTGACAAGCGTCATTAGGTACTTGTCGTGTTTGCGCACTATTCACAACACTTTTTATGCACTACTTATTAGGTGAAAATATTGAAACCCTTGTTTTTGTTTCAGATGGAGAGGAAGCGTGTACAAATTAGTATGGAGGGAGTTAATAGCGTATTTATTTGTATATTATTCAATAAATATTGTATATAGGTTTGCTTTAAATGATCACCAAAAAAGGTGAGTACTTTTATATAATTTTGAGACTTTGGATAACCGCACACGATACGTTTGTCTTTTAAAAAGTCGCTGTAAGTGACTACAGAAGTGAGAAATGGTTAAATAAAAAAAAACGTATTCAATGTTACCAGATTTAAGGTTGGTAACCACTACACTACCTACACTATCAATGAGGAAATGTGGTTAAAAACAATATACTCGTTATACAGGGCCCCCAAACAAAAGAAATTTTGAAAAAGCCAGCTCGTATTTTCTACACTTGAATCTCTAATTGCAGATAGACAAAGTAGACACCATAGACGTTGGAAAAATAAAGCACTTTCTAACTACTGTGGTTAAATAATGAAAGTTACCTATAAATCGTTCATAAATTTAATACTTTTGAAACTATTATAGCCATACATCTATAGTCTACACAATACAACTATACCTAATTGCAAATTAAAGGGACTTTACCCAAAATCGTCCTGAAGCCTTCATTTTCATGTCTACTTTCTGTTATGAAATTTTTGTTTCCATGACAGAGGCAGAGCAGACTACGTTTCCTGCCGCTTGTCACTTTACTGGCCGCATCTGTGACATTGCTAAATGTCTATAATGACACCTGTCAGATTGACGTTAATCAAAAGTTCTATATAAAAATTGAGCTTTAATATTAAAATACGATTTCGGGAAAAATTTAATGCAAAACTCGTCAGTAAAATAACAACACCTGACTGGGAAATTAATATTTCCTCGCCAGTCATTTTCCTGACTTGTATGTAAATAACTATTCAAATAATATACGTACACGACATTTAATTGTAATATGTAATTAAGTGAAAATTGGCAGCAGTAAATATAGACATATACAGAGTGAAAATTTTATTTGGAATACTTAATATACCTTCAAAAGTTTATAGTGGCGTGCGTCTACACAACTCAGAGGGTCACTTTTTAATGAAAAGTACTGTTTCTCGTGAGGTATCATTAGAGAATGAACTTTTTTTAAAATATGAAAAGATCAAACTACATAGTACAATTATGAAATTAATTAACTATTTTCTATGAGTTTTTCTTTTAAATTTGATTATGTAGTATAATACGTTTTTTATGTTGCTATGTCCAAAAAAAGTGTAGTCTAAGAATATGTAATGAAAACTAGTGGTTGTTATTTAAACAAAAATTCCCCCTTTGATCATGCAAGAGTACCTACGCCACTGACCACAAATTACGTAGACTGGTAGCAAACCTTTTATAATTTTGAACACCATACAAAACCTCTTCAAGAAAAATGTTGTTTTGAAGATAATTATATTCAGTGTTCCAAACAAAACTTTCACCCTGTATTTGTATCATTATTTTATTAAATATGACCACTAGAACAAATATAAGATTCATCTATCTGCGTCTCTTGACGCTAGGCCTGAAGATGTGATAATTGCCCGAAATCGATCGCCAATAGAAAATTTAAATAAATTAGTTTGCCAAAACGTCAACCATCTTTTACAGTCATAAAGGAACAGTATTCCCTAAGAAAGTGCCCTTTTCCGTTTTTTTTGTTTCCTAAAAGAACAGGCGTCTTAAAGGATAACATATGCCACATTGTTCAGGCTCAGAAGACATAAACTTGATGGAAAACAATCAAAACGTGGTTGCCACTTGCTCAGTTTTCCTATTGGCGGTCAATGAAGTGGAGTAAGGGGATTTTACAAGGTGAAAAAAATTACTGCAGGCTCGGAAGGGTTAAATTTGATGAAAAATGATATGTTAGTGATATTGGTGGTTGAGAAAATGGATCTAGGGTGTTTCAAATGCGAAAAAATCGCTGCAGGCTTAGAAGACTAAAGTAAAGCGGCGGTAGGTTAGTGATATGGGCACTAACTTACAACACAAAGGTGCGGGATTCAACCCAGGGCCTACCTACCAACGAACCAAGGATCTTTGGCGTTATTACTCCTTGAAATGGACTCAGCCTCGTTAAAAATGAGTACCTGGGGTTACCTTTTTCCCCCGGAACTTTTACTTCGGCCGTTATTGTACTAACCTCTTCCGTCCCGTTAAGATTTCCATCCACTTGACAGTTTCTATTGCTCACTGGAGGTTTCTCCATGAGTTGTTTTCAAGTTTCCTATCCTCCGCTCCTAGGGTGAAAGTGAAAGTGAAAGAAGTGGATTAAGGGAGTTTAAAAGGTGAAAAAAAGAATTGAACTGAGAAGAGGTAAACGTTAAGAGAAATAACTAAAGGGGCATTGGTTGCTGAAGAATTGAATAAAGCGGACTTCCAAAGGTAAACAAATATTGCTGCAGATTCAGCAGGATTAGACCTGATAGAAAATGATCAAAGGGTAGCTGCGACTTGGCTATTTTTGGTATTGGTGCCTGAAGAAGTGGATTAAGGGGACTTTAAAAGGTGAAAAAATTGCTGCAGGCTTAGAAGGGTAAAATTTCACGGAAAATTAATAAAGCGTACGTGCGGCCTTCCTTTTTGTGGGCCTTATGGATAGTGGAGTAAGGGAGTAAGGAAAAAATTACTGCAAGCTCAGACTAAACTTGACCGAAAATGAATAAAGAGCGGTTGTCACTTGCCTACCTACTTACTATGGTGAAAAAATTACTGTAGGCTCAGAAGGGTTGACAATGAATAAAGGGCGGTGGCCACTTATTTATGGTATAGGTGGTAGAAGAAGTGAATTAAGGGGACCTGAAAAGATCGAAAAAATTGTTGGATGCTCAGGGCTAAACTTGCTAGGGAACCAGCAGAGAGTTGTCATCAGTACATACCAATATTTGGTACTGGTGTCTGAAGGAATGAAAGAAATAGGACTGAAAAGTTAAACAAATTACTCGGAAAAGTTAAATTTGATGGAAAGCCCTAGCACAGATTACCGTAGATGATTATGCTTGGCATTGGCTGCTGAAGAAGTGGGGCTTTCTAAAAAACGACTAGAGCGTTATTTATATATACTTATGCCAGGAGTCACAAGAAACTTACTTTTGTTGGTGGTTCTAGGCCAGCCAAATAAGGTAAAAAAGGCATACATCGGAAAAGAAGAAGCAGATCGAAAAACCTTGATTTTCCCGACTTTTTCACCTATTCTTGATATTGATGGTTGAAAAAGTTGCGGAAGGGACCTCAAAGTAGCGAAAAAATTCTGCTGGTTAAGAATTTGGTAGAAAACACTAAAAGAAGAAAATAAAAAAGTAGAAAATACGGAAGGGACAAAATTGTCGAGGTCTCAGAACTGTTAAGCATGCTATAAAACAACCACCGATCATGACAAATATCAGACCTTGGTTCATAACCACTGGTATCTTATCAGAAAATGGGTTGTCGAATGTCCCTAAAACTGCATGCTAATCTGTACCATTTTAAAGAAAATATAGGTACGTTTTCGAAAGATTAGCTTTGGATTTTCCCGTGAAAATAATCTACTACCGTAAGGGCATTAAAACTCCCGTTTAAGGGATTTCCATTGTTTGGCTTTGGATGATTCACCTAAAGCGGACGCTTTATCATGTCCTTTTTGTCTTGATTTTGATCAATTCCCGAATTTATATTGTATCAGATGCAATTTGCATATCTAAGCTAAAATTAAATGATGAATTTAGCAGTTTTCTAATATTTTTTGTTTTCTGTTTCCCTTCTTTTTTCGCGTAGACGAGTGGACATAGAGGAAAATGGGTTTTGTTCTTTTAATTTCCAATCTTTGTTTTAGTTTTAGCTTCAATAATTTTTAAGATACCGAATAGAAAAGATTTTTTTTTTAGAAAGAAATAGATTCTATACCAAGGACAAGCTAATGAGCCGCACAATTTTTTGCACATTTCCGATCGTTAAAAATAACAAACTAAATGGCACATTACAATTTTAAGAGCTTGTTAATACTATTTCCAATAAAAAAACGACAGTACAGATTTGCCTGAATTAACGCATTTATGTGAAAATTACCGTAAGATAATAACTCGAATAATGAAATTAATATCCACTCGACGATTTGAATTGCGTATGCTTCTGTTTAACAATTTTATAATACATTAAACTAATATTAGCACTTTCACCTAATAAAATTAAATTGTTTTCAGCAGCTGCCATGAGCCTGTGTTCCATTTGCGATTAAGTACCAGATAATTATCCGTTAATTAGAAAATTTTATGTCAGTTTAACATTGATTGAAATCCTGTGGAATGTCAATGGACGGATTAATCAACAAACGTTTCCCTTTTCTATTTGTTTTAGTCGAACATTGGTCTGCAAGGTGCAGATGCATATATAGGATGGTTAATAATTCAATTCCAAAATTATGCGCGGTTGTATAGGTAATTAAATTTCAAATTAAGTGCTCCAATTCGCATTTTGAGGCGTGTTATTAGTTGTTTATTACGGAACAGCTCAACTCTTCACGTGGATCTTATTCTTCAGGGACAAATTGCTTGCTGTGATTGGAAGGTCAGATGTTGATCTTTCGTCCAGTATGTTGATGGGAACTGTTCCTTTTGCCGATTATGGCATTTGGCAGTTTCGTATAACGATAATGGAACCTTTCGGAATCCAAATACATCGGCGTTTAAGCCCTCTTGGTAGTCGTCCGTTTTTTAGATTCAAAAAAGAGCAGTAGGTACGTCTTTCTTTAAGAAAAACCTTCTGCGGGTAATTAAAGTCTTCTTTTTCTTTCCCAACGGCGCATTAATACATGTAGACCATTCCTCCCTTGCACCAACATTTGGAGCTTGTATACCTTCGAAACCCCAAGTTCCTCATTTATCTAATTAACACATTCTTCTGGTATTTTACGAGGTATTTTATGCCTAGCGTCTGGAAATGCGCCGGGCACTGGCCTTGAGGGTTGAGTTTTGGGGTGTCTTCGTCCGAAGTTTTCCTCTTAAACCTAGCATTTTGGGAAGGCCTAACTATGGAGTCTTGGGGAGTCCTCTGAGCGCAAGGAGGCGTGTTATTAGGGCCCCTTTGTGAGGTGCTCCTTTTTCTTGTTTCTGCTTTTAGGATACGTATATAAAGTTCCCATTAAGTTTTAGCCATTTCGTGTGGGGTCCGACAGGCATCCTCAGTTTCCGACTTTTGCTGCCTTTAAAAAATAAAGTTTTTATTTTGACCTAAATTTGTCCTAAAGTTTTAGCTAAGAATTCTGGTTGGAGGATCCAGGATTTAAGCTTCAAGCATATTGTTGTTGTTTTAATTACTAAACGCCTTAGTTTAAGGTTACCCAATTTCTTCTTTAATACGTATCTACTTAACTATAACCCTATTCAGCCCGATTATGTGCAAATTTTTATTATATAATTAGAAGCTAAACATCATAAATTAATTACGCTCCCATGCTCTTCTGCTGCGAATAATAAAAACCCTTTATTTCTTTCTTGCGTAATTTCAAATGATGTTCAGAAAATTAGTACGTTAGAGTGGGCGATATATTGTGACATACACTGTAAAAATTATAAGGCGAACTGAATTTGATGAATCACCAAGTAGGGAGTTGCAAACATTTTATAATGCACGGTTTCCCAATCCACAAAAACGTGTATTACATGAAATTCCCATGACCTTTGGGGTTTGCTTGACAACTGATGTTTTAATTACGACGTATAATGCTCGCAGGTACTGGTAACAAGGTAGGTGGTTATTTTTCGAATTTTCAAAAATGAATAATTATTTACAAAATAATTTGGGTTGTTCTTTTCTTCTGGATATATAGAGGCCATAATGTTGATTTTGGCTTGGTGGTCATTGCTTTTATTATACAGGCAGTTGCAACTAATCCAGATCCACAATCTTCAATTTAGCTGAGTTATTTCCCCAGCTGTCCATACTTTGAGCTACTTTTGACTGAAAATACTATTGATGGAGAAAATGCAAATTGTTAATCTTTTTTACTTATACGTTTTTCCAGTTTCTATAGCCTTATGCGTTATTACATTTGGGGTAATTATGTAATTTAATTAATTTAACGAGTGACGACATTTCAAATTGGGAATGCAATAATTTTATGAGTTCCAATGGAAATGACGTCAATCATGATTGTTTCCTTCTTCCCATGTACGCATTTAATTGTAGATTCAAAACAAATTTGGCAGGTAGATCTGAAGATATAAGAACAAAACACAATTATGCAGAAACGTATTTCTAATAACTGTTGATTTAGAACAAAAACTCTTATTTAAATATTATACACGCAGTTTTAAACAATAACACTTTTTAGTATAATACTAATTTCGAGTTCGTGGACAATCTAAAGGGTGAACTTTTCTAGGATGTTGCAATCATTTGTGAGGAACTGTGTGGTTCAGGATAGTTTTAGAGAGGATACGGCAACCAAGCGATATTACTGAACATAGTCGGGGGACATACTGGGGTTCGAGGGTTGAATTGGCCTATCTCGCCTTGGATACCGTAAAAGACGATCAATGGGCAATAGAGGTGATGAGTCAAACGATTCTGTTCACCCTTTCTCATATTTTCTCTTTCGCTGGCAGAAGAGGTAATCGACTACGACTTGATTTACGATTTGACCGACAAAACTCCTACGGTGCAGAGAAGTACAGGTCCCAGTACAGGTCGGAGGCGGGGCGAAGCGAGCATCCGTATCCCGGCACAATAACAAAATTCAATTCTGACTTTAAATTCCGGATTCTAAGCAATTCAAAGTTTTTAGACTCTAACAGGATCACTTACCAAATTTTGAATACATTTGAAATGAACCTGAACTTGAGCATGAGACATCTATCTGAATCGTTAAAGGGATCGAATAGACACACAATTTGCATGATTTCACATAAATAAACTTTATTCTACGACCACAAATGAAATTAAACATAAACTTCTACTTAACAAAATTGGACTACAATAGCGCCAGAATAAATAAACCCCGCATATGCGTTCGATTCTCTCGGTCGATCAAACTTTAACGTCAGACGATCAATTTTCAAAGGACAGAAACTTGCACTCGAACTTGGCGAAAGGGCCCCTTCTAAACGCAAACTCCGGTATTTAAATGGACATCCTTCTTAAACAAATCGAAATTTTCTTGACGCCTGGCAAGTAAATAAACCAATGAAAGCTTCGCTACAGGGTGCTTTCTCCAGTCAATTTAAAATTATCTTATCTAAAATACAACATTTTCTACGAAAACAAACATTTGTTTTCCGATTAAAAGCCATCCTACATTAATCTTTTATAAAAATAAACGAAATTCAAATAAATCAAATCTGAACTGTCACAAATGAATTAACAAAACAAATTGATGGGGAAAATTGAGATCCTCAGCTTGATTTGGTTGCTCTTGACGCATGGTATTACAGCGCTTGTTGTAAACGGTTTGTTTGGAAAAGGACGGGATTGCTCAAGTCAGGGACAAAGCCATGGAATTAGTTTGCTCATATCTTGAAGATAATTCAGACGAATGTAAATGTTCTCTAACCGAATTGTTGAATTAAGTAGAAGAGGAGGATCGCTCGCAAGATGTTAGAGCAGTCAAAAGCCTTCTGCGATCCCAAAAACGCAGACACGCAAGAGCAACGTCTCTGAATGGTAAAAGCTGCTGGAGAAATCGTTCTCGAGCATATTGGCTCTGTTATCTAAGAAACACAACACTATCCATCCCCCGATACAGACTTAAAAGAACATGCTTCGGTATTTTTCAAATTTGAAGCCACCAAGAACAAAATCCGCCATGTAAGTGACCGGGTTTTTGTGGGGCGTGATTTAAGTCAGGGAATCAATGACCTGCGCTACAACTTATTTGTGAAAATGAGTAGCAATGCTAAATTCAACCTTTCAAAATTGCCCCCGACATTGCTCACGGCCTCCATCTACTACGAGTGTACCACTAAATCGAAGAGTGGTTGCAAAACTCCTTGCACCCCCTTGAATGGGTTGGAAACGAGAACCCTCAGGCATAATTCCCGTTGCTATGGGGACGACTCAGTACTACCATCCTTGCTTCATCCCATCCAAAAAGGCTGCAATAGAGCCTACACATGCTGGAGGGCACCAATATTTGCAAAAACTGTAGGGGAATCGGCTGCAACAACATTGTACTGAGCTGGACAAGGGGGATAAAGAAGATTGTACAGATACCGATCTGAAGGAGGTTAAGGGCAGTGATATTAATCCCATCATAGATGAAGATGGGGACCCCTTTCACCAGCGGGTCTCCCTTCCCCCATAACGACGAGGGTTGTAATTTCCAACTTGGCAAAGGGCACCATTTTGTTCTTGTAGAGAGAAATCTCACCAAAAGGCGGATGAAAAACTAAAGTCAACGGCATAAGATGTACAAGGCAACGGGAAACCGCAAGGGGTCAAGATTAAAGAAACCTTGGATAACAACAAAAATGATGAATGTTAATGTCTTGAATCTTAAGGGAAGAAAATGGTTGTTCCTCGAGTAATATCTATATCTATTTCTTCATAAAGTGCAGTTTTTCATCAAAATAACGCGTGTGGCAAATTTCTGTATGTATAAAAACTCTCAAAATAAAAAGTGCCTAAATTGAACTACAAAAACATAGCTTTCATTTAGGTTTGATTCGTGTAGTAGAGTTTTCTGCCGAATGAAAGTTTGAGTAACAAACTGGTTCAACATTATTTATTGTTCTAAATCGACCAGTAAAGCATGCCCAACTCGTAACCTCCGACGAAATGTAACTTTTTGACCTTTTCCATGATTTCTAGCTTTCATAACAGATGTTAAATTGTATTCTGCTATGCATTTAATGTATAATAGGCGAAACGTTACTTCCCGGTGTTGCCGTGAAAGCACAACGTTATCCAAAGTCTCGAGTGTGTACCAATTTCAATGTATTTCCTTTCGTTTCAGATTATTCGAAAAAATTCGTATATATTTCGGACAACAAAGTGAGACTATACCAATGTCCTTTGTGTTAGGGTTTTACGTATCTTTAGTAGTAACAAGATGGTGGGATCAGTACAAAATGCTGCCTTGGCCAGATACTTTAGCGTTATTTTTAAATGCGGCCATTCCAGGCGGGGTAAGTACGCACAAATCCACTCCCCGTTTTTGCTTTGATCGGTCTGTGTAATTGCCATGCAATTGTGTGATGAAATATGGGTGCGATCGTAGTATGCCATTCAGGAAAAACTTGCATAAATGTTTATATAAATTAATCGAAGTTGTTTTATTAATATAGAATTGAAGGTTGTAATTTGTTTCAGGATGAAAGACAAAGACTGATGAGAAGAAATATAATTAGATATATAATTTTAGCGTTCGTCATTACGATGCAACGGGTGTCTCTTAGGATTAAAAAAAGGTTTCCAACGTACCAACATATCGTCGACTCAGGTGAGTGATAATTTTTTTAAAAATTGTATTGCTGATGTTAAATAGACATTATTATTAAAAATGGGACGCGTAGCACGAAATAAAATAAACTTCAGAAACGAAAACAATATTGTTTCCAAGGAAACGACGGGTTAACCTAAGCTTGCTATTTTCGACGTAAAAATTCATAATTTTCTGAAGTTTTATAATGATTTATATGGCTTCTTGTATAGAATAAAATTTGGTTTTATACACGATGATAAAGGGAAACCAACCATCTCCTTAAAGTTAATTCACTCGATGGTTAGTTTTGTATAGTAAATTACGATTCAACAATATGGTTTTCGTTCTATTTACCCTACTTTCTCAGCTCATTTAAATCCATTACATCCGAAAATCCCTTAATTTTTTTTGCTTTTGTTACATCAAAATGGAAATTAATTTCCCTCTGGCTGTGCTCTGCACGGACCGGTTATAGAATCTTCGCTGATATTCCGCGTGGAAAACGTGTTTGTTATTGTTTGTTGTTTCCTTTCTTAGAAGTGCTGAAAAATCTTCGTCCGCAGCACAAAGGTAACTTGATGTAGATGATAGTAGCGATTTCGCTCTCGTTTGTTACAATTATAAATTTACATGCTATACATTCAAGTACATGTGAGTGACTGAAGAATTGGGGAAAGTTAATAGCGAACATACGAAATTAAAAAGCCAAAGGTTTAAGAAGTTAATAGAATAATAGAAAAACTATAAAATGAAACAAAGCGGTGCAGTTAGATATTTGAAGAAGTGAAGGGAAATGAGAATGACCTAATAATTATTAATCTACACGCGCTCGCATCAAGATAGTTTTTGTAAAGTATAGAAAATCCACACCGTTATAATACAAGAGGAAAAGACAAAATATTAATTCTTAAACATCATTATACGTATTGTAAAAAGTCACCCTATTATATGGCATCTAAAATGTATAATAAAATTGGCTACCTGATGACCTGACAAACTCTCCAGGAAAATGCTTTTATTGATGTAAAAGTTTGTACAGTTTTATACTTCTATAGACCAACTTGATTTTAAGTTGCTCCATTGTTTGTCAAATCTTATATATTTTTAAGCGAGCTGTGGTGGCGTGGTGCGTTGAGGCGAGTAACTACTGATTTTTATTTGGGATGTGATTCACTACGGAAGCTTTCCCATAATTTTCAAAATGTCTTTGTCGTTAAAACTGGAACATAAATTGTATGGTTAAGTTATTTGTAATTTTTATAATGGATACTGTCCGTCAAATATATTATATTATTATTATTAAAAGTTCGAATGGTACAGTTCAAGCGTTTTTATCTAGGCGTGTGCACTGTACAGTTAATAACTTCACCTCGGCAACGGATAACGAATTTTGTTTCTACTGCCCGGATCATCATCGATAAGTCACTAATTATAATTGCCCTCCAAAACCACGCATCCTCAATAAACAACTTCCGTATTTGAGGAGATATTTGATCGAAATTTGTATGGTACGTTCCTCTAATACAAAGTACCAAAAATGGAAATGGAAAAAAGAAAAACGCGAAGAACTTAAAGTGACAGAAGAGGAAGAATACCGGAAGATTAACGTGAAAGAAATCTGAGAAGAATGTGCGGGGGAAGCTGAAAAGTAACTTGAGGACCTTGAGTGCGACTTATGAGAAAATCGGTTGGCATAGGTAGTGAACGTGCTATGGGTCTAATGCTCAGATAACGTTCGTTGTTGCAACATTGATGCGAATTTGCGACTGTGGCTCATTAAATTCGAAGAAATAAAATCATTGTTCGCTTTGTTTTGACAAGCAGGGCGAGCGTGTCAAATCAAAGTTTGAAACGGCGGTTTCAACATAGTCGTCAACAAGCGTGACATATTCGCAATTAAATTTTGAGATTAACAATTTATACTGTCCATAGGAAAATTTAATCGACCCCGAATCAAACGATTAAAGTATACCAACCGTTCACCAACTGAAAATAATCAATTTTATGGTGTCTATGACAAATTAATGCTTAAAATGCGAGCGACAAGGCAAGCATAGGTTGGAAAGATACACTTTAATTATAATAATTCGATTGAGTAATTGACGGGTTATGTTAATCTATAAGCAGCGTAAACACTGGGGATAAGTAGCAGTTGTGTTGATCTGTTTTTGTGGTAATAAATGGGGTTCAAGGTAAATCTTGTGAAGGTTGTTCGAAGGAGTCCAAAGAAATTCATCTTGAAACGTGTAATTTTTAATTGTAGGTGCTAGGAGGAGATGGCAGGGACCCAATTTGCAATTATAAATGCATGATATTATAATAACACCTATCGGTAGTAATTAATTAATTAAGTTTCAATCGTTGCTTTTACTGCCGTGGTCAGTGTAATTACGACAGTATTACGAAATGGAAATGCAATTGTAATGTTACTACCATTTAATGAAGTTGAATCATCGCGATTTTATTGACGCATAGGTTACTGCTCAGTATTACACTAAAAACCTACATTATTATTCTGCAGCAGAAAAATAGATCATTTACGTCAAACCGTAGAACTCAATTTACATAAAATTTTAGAGATCAATACCGAAGGCAAACTTCCTACTAAATTAACATATTATAGGTGCATGTTTTCAAATTGATATGAACAAATATGCTTACCGTCAGTACTAGAAATTTACCTTTTTTATGAAGGCTCTCTCAGTGTACCTAATACAGAGAATTAGGCGATTGCTACTGCTTTCACTGAATCTTCTCTTGCGGCTATAACTTAAGCAAATGGAGAACACAACAACGTAGTATATGCAAGCGTAGGTATAAAATCATGGCCCTATAAAACGCGCCTTCTATATATACTTTTGAATGTTAAAGTCACTGGAAACTAAAATTTATTACACTGTAATAACGCATTGCTGCCTGCAACACACAAGGGGGTCTTACATTATGCACATTTAAACCCCTCTCACTGTAGCCCATAATTTTATTGAATTGTGGAGAGTAAGTGTATATTTGCTTTTTAGTAATATTTCAGGCTGACAGATTTTAGAGTGGTGAATGTAGAAAATCTTTAAAATAGTTAAAGGTACGCAATATTCTTATCCTTTATAGGATAAGATCTTTAAATTCTTTTGATTTTTGAAGAAATCTGATTCTTCTGATTCTTGGGGTGCTTCGGTTTTGCCGGGTTCTTCCAATTTTTAGATTTTTAACATTCTTCGGGTTGTAACGGTAGCTTTCAGATTTTTTCGATTTTTAGAGAGAGGAAATGTTCAATTTTGTGAAAGTTTGAGTGGAATTTACATATCGTAGAAATTCACAGAGTATTAAAGTTTAACGGGTTGAATTGCTTTTCCAAATGTATAATATTCTTGGTGGAAATTCAAAGAATAAGTTTGTCAACCGCGGTGCAAACGTGGTTTTTTTTGCGTCAAATGGAGCATTGTTTCTTTATGGGTTTTGGAAGCTTCTCGAGTCGAAATACTCGAAATGTCTGGCATCTAAAATTAGTGCTATTGGGTTACATTTGCTACCTCAGCATGAGGCACTCAATCAGTAAGATTTCGATAGTTCCTTCTTTGTTTCGTTTAGGAACGTCCGAGCGCTTTAAACATTGGTACACAAGTTCATAAGGATATAACAAACGGCACTATTTAGTTACGTAGACTATTGGGGCAAAAAGTTACAGCCCAAAAACCGCCCAAACCTAAAAAAGGTTTTTTACAATTTTTGTTTCAAAGAACATATGAATGTCCGGCTTTCTGTGGTAGTAAATATTCCTTAATCCTCAAGCCACAGTGCAGATGCAAAAAATTACGCATGCGCAACCCAAATTTCGTATTTGCACAACTCAATTTTTGATTTAAATGAAATTCTGTATGTAGTCACCTCGAGTAAAAGTGAAATTAATGCGAACACTTAGTAAAAATACACTGTTCGAGAGTCACCTCAATATCTCTTTTATCCTCCTCTGCTTTCGGATACTTATTTTAAATTAATTTTTATCCATACATTACGAGCTATTTAAGAGCAAGCAATTGCAATTTTATAGAGTCAATCTTAAAAGAGCAAATATACATAAGCACTTTGGAAGGCAAGGTCTATTCGGATGTCGCTCCTCCTCTCTTTTCCTTTATTTATTTCAAAGTAATTTTTATCAATGAATTACCCATTTCAGAGCCTTTATTTGCAATCAATTCTAATTTTTGGGCTTTACTAGTAAAAGGTAAAATCATCGTTGAGGTAGCCTGATCTATATTCGGACCTAGTCCCTTCTGTGTTTCCCTTTACTTATTTCAAGTTAATTTTTATGTACGAATTACGAGCTATTGAAAAGTTTTCTAATTCTAATTAGCTCCACCCTCAAAGGGACAAATAGATATAAACGTTTGGAGCGGGCAGGTTCATTTCAAAGTAGCCTTTTTTCTGCTTACCTTTAGATATGTCAAATTAATTTTTAATCATGAATCACGAGCGATTTTAAGAGTCACTTATAAGTAATTTTAATTTTTGAGCTCGACCCCTATAAAGCAAATATACATACTCCTAATCGCAATGACAAACGGTCACTAAACCACCCACCTATCCAGCTATCTCAATTAAACTCATGTACTAACAAAATCTTTTACATGAAATTTTTGTCTGTAAAATTTTCCCAAGGCACTCCCGATATCTGTTACTAAGAAAAATTTCAATATTGAGCCCTAACCCTATTAAGAGAAGCTCAGCAGCCTTGATCATTCCCACAATTCCAAAGAATTATTTAACAAATTTTTTACCACTTGACATCATCTTGGCTACCAATAGAAAAATTTCACATGAGAACTCTTATTTAGGTGTAATTTGGGCTCGATTAAACACAAAAATAATCATTTACAGGCGAAACAAACTGTATTCAACATAAATCAATCAATAAAGGTGAAATTAAAATAGGCACACAGGGCCGGATGACAAACTTCACTACACGATTGCGTTTGGAAAGCGATTGCAAAATATAACAACGCGAGTTCCGGTAGTTATATTGTTTAAAATGAAAAAAGTTTGAAATATAGTATATTAAGATACAAGTGTATAATCAAGTCTTTAAAGCACGCGCAACGAGTTTAAAGGCACGACGCAAAGCGGAGTGCCTTTAACGTTGCAAGTGCTTTAAAGACCAATTATACACGTGCATCTTATAGTATTTTTTATTATACCTGCAGTATAATTTAAAAATAGGAAATACAATGAAATCATATTGACGTTATACTCGAATACATGTCTAATTAAGTGGGCTGGGTGTTCGTAATTTCACGATTGCCATGGAAATGTCACTTGACGTTTGCTTAAAAAATCATCGTCAATGTGAATTAAACGATTTCCGTTGAAAAAGATAATACGTCGTCCATTAAATCGCTTGCTGTAAAATCTAAACAAACGTTGGTAGGTGTAAAATCCAACTCCAGTAAAGCCTATTATAAAGAATATGAAAAGTTGTTTCCATGGATGAATAGGAAGTTACGAATACAGTCTTAAATGCATCCATAATGCTGGCATATATGAAGGAAATGTCAAAGGTATTTAAATCTTCTATATTTTGGTGCATTCATTCAAAACTTTAAAGCAATGCTGCGATTAAAAAGTGGAACAGATTTGGAAGCATACCCTAAATTACGCGCGTTTGTGAAAGCTTCAACCAAAGGATAGGTACAAAAGCCAAAGAAATGTTCTGCATTTACAGAAAGCGACCTAAGAGGATTTTTTTATTTCATCCAGATGACAGTTTTAAAAGTCATACTTGAAGTATCGTTACTTAGCAACTTTAAAGCACGTGTGTTTTAAAGGCCCTTTTTCGCACGCATTTGAGTGTTTAAAACGGAGATTGTAGTTCAGGTATAATAAAAAATAAATTCTAACGTGTCGGTTTATATACGCAGCAAAATTAAAAGGACGTAATAGACAGTTTACGTAGAGAGATAAAAAAAACTGCCGCATTTGGTACAAAGCAATTTAAGAACCATTGTTAAAACTGCTGTGTTCGCGCCAAACAACGCGCTGCGATAAGAACGTAATCGCGCTGCTAAAGACACTAGTTTATATATAGTTTAATTATCGGAACTGTGAGTCATCGGAATTGTGACAATAACACTAAAATACGTACTATCAACAACAAACGATGACTTCACTGCCAGCATTTAATAGCTCAGGATTTGACAATTATAGTTATATTATGCAAACACCACAGATCATTCCACAACAATTCATGAGTCGACCATTACCAACAACAAGCTATAACACACGTATGGCGCAAGAATATCATACATATAATCCTACAAAGACAGCGGGATATATCTGAAGATGAACAAAATGCCTCACAAGCAAAAAGGCAAGGCAAAAAATAAAAGGAACCAACAAATGTGAGCAATATTAGCAGTATATTATCAGACCAAACCGAAGAAAACTTACAAAACAACCCATCAGCAACCAAAAGTCGTAAACCCCCAACCCACCCGTTTACATATAATAGGGAGTAACAAACTATGCGGAAATGGATGCAACCCTCAATAACATAACAGGAACGGAACAAATGTACCACCAAATGCTTGGCACCTATAGAAAATTGGTGAATTACCTGAAAGACAACAAAATGATACACCACACATAGCAACTAAACGAAGATAGAGCCTACAGAGTGGTAAATGAAAATGAAAAATCTATACCATACCATAGAAGTAAAAGAAATCGAGAGCGAATTATTGAAAGAAGGAGACAATGTCCGAAATATAATAAACGGGAAACACAGAATAACAAAAGAACCATTAAATTTATTTTTTGTGGATTTAGAGCCATCAGAAAATAACACAAGGACAAGCATCTACAACAGAAGACAAAATAAAATAAGCCAATAGTAATAGAACCGCCAAGAAAAGCTAAGGGAATAATCCAGTGTTTGAGATGCCAACAATGTGGCCATTCTAAAACATATTGCAACAGGCCATTTGTCTGCGTTAAATTTGGCGGACAGCACAGCACCACCATTTGCAAGAAACCAAAGGACATCGCATCCAGATGTGCTGTAGGAAATGTTGCCCACCCTGTTAATTACCAGGGGGTCCACGACCGGACAGACGGACAGAGGGACACCATCGACTCCCCTATAAAGCTTGCATCGCTTTGCTCTGCCGCTTAATAAAGAGGGATTCTCATTGGAGAAGTGGCCTACCACGCCACTAGAGCTTCGGGGCCCTTAAGTGAACAAGATAGCTTATAAAAATATATGTAAATTCTGATTGCTAATAAGTATAATACAAAAAATTATGTATAATTAAAGGGTTGAACCTTTAAGAAAAAAAATGTTCTTAATTTTTAATTTAATTGAGGTTTAAAAGTCAATTAAGAAATTTTGTGGTTTGAAAATTCTTAAAAAGCTCAACTTAACTACAGTCAAAGCCGTTTTGCCGTTTATGAACCCACAAAAAATTTTATTTATTTAAAAAGAATAGATTTTTGTATAGAAAGTTATTTCTGTTCAGAATTAATCGAAGAAAACTTCCGATCTAGTGGATTCGTTACAATGATATTTTAGATAAGATGTGCATTCAGAATTGTGTAATGATTGGTTATGAGATTCGATATTAAGTTCAGATTAGTTCCATTAAGGATGTGGCCATAATGATATGTGTGTGAATTTGTGAGCAAGATGAAGTACATATTGAAGTCAAATTTTAGGAAACTCAAGGGGAGAAATCTTGAAAAAATCAACCAATCATAGTCAAATTTTAGCTCGCCGTTGGGTTGGTCAAGTAATAAATGTTTGCTAAAGAATCTATGGGTACTTAGAAATCCAAAATTTTCAACCCCTTTATAATGCCAAATCTTGTTGCAATAAGTTACGCAAGCGCACATGATATTAGCGTGTTTTAAGGGATGATTAGTGTATATTTCTTATAAATTGGAATATGTAGACAATTTTTAATTTTTACGGACGACTAACTTTGAAAATTCGAAAATAGAGAAAGTGAAGACCAAAAAATGTTTGACAACAATAACAACGTTTAACTGATAGAAATTTTCTCTGTTACGTTTACTGGATTATTGGCTACTTATTCACAAAAGTGGTGCTTCTGACACCGGAAACATACAAAATAGAGATATTGGCCAACTAAGAAAAGGGATTGTTCCAAGTTCGTTTTTTGCGTCAAAATGGTCCTATACACGAAACATCTGCACTTATTTTAAACAGAACGTTGAATGTGGAGGTTAAGGACCATAAACTGTACTTCAAAGCTTTGTCGGTACCTACGTAATGGAATAAATTAGTTAAATTGGACCTTTGGTCCGTTAATAGGCCAGAGCTCGCTGGCTGTTCGGCTTAATTAAAATTCGCGTATCCCTGTCGTAAATTCATTTCTTTTATTGGAAAAGTCGCACGCGGCCATTTGCATAAAATATGATTTAGTGTTACAACAGAGAATTTTAATATACCAAAAGTCATGGGTGAGGTGAGATCATTGAACAATGGGTGTAATCAGAATCTTTAGTGCCATAGCAACACGCGAGAAAATCGAGAAAATTAATGGAGAAACTGTTGCTTATATACCGATTAAATAAGAATCCGTGCACGTATGTGTATCAAAACGTGCACGCACCAAGTGCAATAAACTACAAAATGTGGTACACGAATTAATATTCCGCTCCCGAATTTTCAAGCAGATAATTACGCCTAAATCTTCTCCAAAATCGGTACTGTACCCGTTTAACGTAAATGTGCAGCTCTAAATACCTATGCAAATTTTCGTCTGAGCGTTGAACTTGATCTTTATTATAAACAACCACCCACGAACCACCTTTGAAAAAATGGCTACATAAATTAAAGTCGTTACATCACAATGAACCACATACGCGTGTGTCGCTAGAAAGAGACTCTTACAACTTTTACCGTAAAGGAATTTGAATTATTGGCGTCAGGTCATGGCGCCTTTTTTTCTCGCGCAGCCCGCGTAAAAATCTAGCTTTCCAGCTCTACTTCTTCACCTGTGTATATCTAAATGTTAATTCGATTAACTTTCTACTGTACGGTTCTGATTTGACAATAATAATTACGAACGGAACGCTACTACTCGATATGAATGGGGAAAATTAGGTTTGTGGCCTGACGCGCCGTTGAAATCTCCGCCTGAATGCCAATGCAATTTATACGGGACGGATTTTTACGTATATTTTACGCGTTTCTTTGGTTTCAGGTCTTATGCTGGAGAACGAGAAGAAGATTTTCGAACTGATGGACGTCAAGACGCCGATGTCGAAATATTGGATGCCGCTAGTTTGGGCGACCAACATCATCAATCGGGCGAGAAAGGAGTCTCTGATAAAAAGCGATCAAATTGTGCAGACCCTTTTGACTGAATTATCGGATATTAGGAGACGATTGGGTGGTTTGATTGGTTACGATACGGTGTGCGTTCCGTTAGTTTACACACAGGTAAGATGCGATTTTAGACTAGAAACTGAAGTTAAATTTTAATTACCTAGAAACGTGCACTCAAGGTATAATATTAACGGACAAAAAAATTCATCCTTCCGCCTTTTATTTATAAAAATAATCACCTTGCAATTCGAGCGATTGAGATATAGAGGGATGTTTCTAAATGTGAGGTAAACACGGAAGGGGATAATTTTCGGCTTATTTTATGCCTAAAGGTTCATCTAAAGATATTTCTGCAAACATTTCGTTACCGATACAGGGTGTTATAGTTCTACCGTACATTTTACGATATAAACCTTCAATTTATAAACGTATGCAAACACAAGATACAATTTTCAATGCCAACTATCAAAATTAATAAAAAGAAGTGATTATCTAATTAAAACCATTTCAAAAATCATACTTCCATTTATCTATAACTACCGCAAATTGATTTTTTTTCTCGATACGAAAAAATTACAAGAGACAAAAAAGTTTCCTGTTTCAGAATTTACCAGTGGCTTATTGAAAAAGATTTCAGGGGTAGAAAAAAACACCTTGCATTTGAAGACTGCATGCAGGAAGTCCCAGGAACTCAGATCATCTGCTGATTCATCGCTTTGTTGTACCAAAAATGGAAACTTAAACAATTATATGTGTAGAAAATCTCTCGCAGATCATTACACAAAGGTTAATAGTTACGAAAAATGAGGTTTCTGTCGCTTTTTGTTGCAAGTTCAGATTCAGATTCGATATCTAAAATTCAACATACAACCTCTCTAATAAAAATTCAATGTGACTGGATTATAGATTAAACATATGGGCTTGAGCACAACATACATTGAGCATTAAGAGTTGAATGATATTAAGTCAATTACAATAAATTTAGATTAAGTTCTTTGTATTGAAAGTTAAAGGTGTGCAAACGATCAATAATTCATAAACATTCAATGAGAAATTTTGCAACAACAGCACTCCTACGAAAACGATGCCTGTTCATTTTCAATAATACTCCAATATTAGTTGATCAATTTGGGCACGTACGCACATTGTTTGTGTTATCACGCACAGTACAATGACACATGTAAACGTGCGTGTTTGTTGTTATTATATGCAAGTGAATACCACGCGCTATTTACAAAATACCGATACCTCGTGTGCTAATAAACATAAATTTCTGATTCCAGGCGATCAGTGAAAACTCGTGCCATTTATTCCTCGATTCACCGTCCGTAAATAGGAAAGTTCTTCAGACGTTTCACACTTTCAATTGATACCTTTATAAATATGAAATTTTTCTAGCAGCTGTGTAATCTCGTATCACTTTTGCGAGTTTAAATTGGTTTTCTGGTCTTTGGATCATTCACAAAATCGGAATGTAATTAGAAACAAGCCTCAAAAGTCTTTACAATTTTTATATTTATAATTCTGTCTGAACGTTCCCGAGAAAACTTCTAGAACTTAAAAAAATGAGTCCCGAACCTCCTTCCCCTATAATAAGTTTACACATCAAGATGACGAAATAATAAATAAATACTGTGTAACACCTACATACGAGACAGTTCAGTGGTTACCTCTGAAACATTGTAACGAATAAGTGCTTCCCATCCAACTCTTAATCTGCCGCTCTCTTTTTGGAATGATATTTTAAAGATACATTCGGCTTTGTATGCGGTAAATTCTCCACCAAAGTAGTCGTTCCCAGATACAGATTCATCTCGGGATATTATCGTCTTCAGGAGATTCAGTGCTGGACTTCTCGAACAAACATTTTCTAAGGCAGAAGGGAAATATTTTTATGGGAAGCGTTTCTAAGAGAATTATCCCTTTCCCTTGGAGACTACAAGTGAACCCTATAGAGAGAATAAAGTGTCTCAGATCGAATGAGATTGTATGTAAATCAAAGAGCATATAACATACTTTTTGGTTAAATGCAACACATTCTAGGAAACTAATATTTCCGTGGATGTAAAAGTATTATAAACAGTTTAATTCAGAAAAATTCTTATTTCGATAGGACAAACTCAACAATGATATTAAAATTAAATTCGAAATGCCGGTTACTGACGGCAATATTGTCTTTTATAAAATGGGCTTCATATTGCATTTTGACGTTAGTCCAGGAAATGAAGGTTTTGCCCTGCCAATTAACTTGAAATTTTGACAGTAGGTAGGGAATAGCCTAAGGATCAAAATCTATATCATGCCAAAGGACGCTTTCCCCCTGGGGGTGGGGTGGTAATTTTTTATTGTAATTTTTATACAGAAATAGATAGAAGAATTAATTCTAAGCAAAAAAGTGTTCAATACATTTTTTTAGAAAGTTAATACTTTCCCAGTTACCTATTCGCGACCGAAAGTATACTTGAGTTTTTAACAGAAAAGATCAAAGTTTTTAATTGGTTATTCGTGAAAAACTCGAAAAGTATGCATTTTATAAAAAAAACAGTGGAGAACAAAATCGTAGCTTTTAAAACAACAAAGAAAATTGTTTTTTAAATAATTGATGTAGGTATGACCAATACGAACCGAGTTTTGGCTTGTTAAAGGTTAGCTATTGTTCGTCAAACGCTAAATTAGAGAGTTTCACAGTCAAATAACGGCAAAACCATACATTTTTCGAGAAAAACTTGTAGAATATTCTTTAAAGTACTTAAAAAAACATTTCTTAGCATAAAAGTTAAGTGAGTTATGATGAAAATAAGGTATTAGATCCGTACTTTTTTGAGCGAAAAAATCAGCGCAAGCAACCCCCCTAATTACCACCCTCATTAAAATTATAGTCCTTCCCCTTTTTCAGTTTTCTCTGATACCGCATTATTAATACATTCTAGAAGTGTGACCAGTTTAGAAGACTTCATTTTGAAATAGGCTAAAAGTGAAAAACGAATTTGTGCAAAACAACTGGAGATACGTAAAAAATGCTACAGCATCCAATTGTAGCATTTTTAATTCCAACATTTTCCTCACCGGGAATTTTCTGTACGACAAAAATTAAAAGTGAGATATAGTCGTTTAAAACGTGTATTTATATGCGAGCACTACTTTGTTTTAACTTTTTAAGCTCACTCCATTTTAAAACTGAGAGTTTTAAAGGGATTTGGTGTAAATAGCCTTGTAGATCTTGTAAAAACCTACAAAATGGTTTTTTAATGCACTTTCAATTAGGATTGAATGAATGATTAAAAATAAACAAATCACAATTTTTTCCGAAAAATTCTGAAAGCACAAATCGAAGAATTATGCTACATGACCGGTATATATTTCGTATACTACACATTAGAAACTTACATACACACTTACATCCATTCCATACACACTATATAATGCATATACAGGGCGATTCAAAAAGAATATCATCACTTTGAAAATCTCAATTTTAATTAAAGAAACAAAATAGAACCATGGGTTATATCAAAATGAAGAGTATTAAAGTCAATCATTACTCAACTCATCTGAACCAAATTTTACTCACCTTAAGCTTTAATATGTAGTTTTATGGGTGTGGTAAGAAGGGGTAGATTTCACCCCTAAAAAATGAAGAGGGCCCATCGGCATAATATAGATGAGTGGAGGGTAATTTTAACGTAATCCCAAATTATCATGCGAATCAATGCATTTTGAAAAAATTGCCAGGTTTTACACTATTTTAAGTCTGGACTACATGGGTTAAACTCAGTTTTTTAAATTCCTGATTAAACACATAATACGAGCAAAATTTTTTGTCCAAAACCTAATTCATTTATTAAATCCTTCATAAAAAACTCTCCTTAAACATGAAAGAATTCATAGTAAAGAGATTTATGTCATCAATTATATGTCATTAATTATTTATCACCCTTAAAAATGGTCGTATGTTTGCAATCAAGATTTTATGAACGGGAATATTGTGAGAATGAGAAATATTTCCTCCTCATGAAAATTCATAATGCAGGTCGAAAATGTCTAAGGAAATCCGCCTTAAAAAAATTCGCCCTTCAAGTAAATATGGAAGTCCCCTTGGAAGTTTTGTGGAAAGTGAATTTTTCATTGGAGTAAGTTTGGACCAGAGATTCGAATATTCTGAAGAGAAATTTTTTTAAGCGAATTTTCTTTCAGAACCGAATATTCAAGAGCGAGTTTTTAGCAAATACTACTGAGACCAATGTTCTAAAATTCCGCAGAATTATATCCCAGATTTATGGGTGTGAATTTTCCAGGAAACGGCTTTTGTTGATGGACAATTTTCATGAATTATTTTCATTGCGACAAGTTTTTTATGGTCTTCTAAAATTCCAGTTGTTTGCGTTACCTATCTAAGTATGAAACCAAAATTTTCGAAACATATCAAAAGTAAGAGTTATACGAGGCCTATTCTAAAAATACGTAGATTGTATGAATTGAGTTATTTCCACGAAAATCCACTTGCCTCCATCTTCGTACCGATCAACTGATTATAAGGCAGTTTGTTGATTCCAATATAATTATCGGTTGTTGTGTATTTTTTTCGTTTGGCGGAATTTAGAATGAGTGGTTTGAACGAGCAAAACTGCTAAACTTCGATAAATATGTGAGCGAAACTTTTGACATGCTCAAGACAACTATACAATACCTATTGATAAGGGAGAAACTGAAATTAATGATAATACATTTTTCGGCAACAGAGGAAGACAGGGAAAGGAAAGGGATGGAATTAAATGTTTAAAAATCGAAAATGATGACACTTTGGAAGGGGGAGGGGGGTAGAATAAAAGAGTAAGAGAATTTAGATGTACCAGATAAAGAAAACTAAGTGGCGATGAGACAGGTGTGGGGCATAGAAAAGAAGAAATTCAGAATAGGTAAATACATTTTTGTGTTGGTAAGGGTGCTTATGTACGGAACGGTGATATGGGGGGGTCGGTCTAAACGGAAGGACACCAAATTACATAGGTATTAAAGGAACCAACAAAAATGGAGAAGGAAGAATAGCGTCGGGACGCAGGGCGGTAAGATTGGACGAAAGGAGTGAAAGAGAAAATGAATTAGTGAAAAGCTTGTGAACAAGGATAAACACAAAAGGAATTCTGGAAGAAAAAAGAAAAAAATTATGAAAGGAATGATACGGGTGGGCGAAGGCCCAAAGAAGGAGACAAATAGGGGAAAGGATGGAAGATGAACTGACATAATACAAAAGTACAGCAACGGAGGGTGAAATAGAGAGCTCACGAGGAAACAGTAGGTACAAGAACGTGATACGGGAGTGGTTGCCGAAATACCTAAAGGGTGGGAAGAAAAAATATCAAGATAATAGCGAGGTTTAGATGAGGAAACGAGGAGAAATGGAAGGGGAACTAGAGAAAAAAAGAAAATGCAGAATTTGTGGAGAGAAAGCGGAAGACGCACATGCTAAGGGAATGTAAAGCAATGGAAAGAGCAAGCGAAAGCAAGAGTGAAGAGGAGAGGAATGGATCAGGATGATTTCAGAAAAAAGGAAGAAACACAAAAATTTTAGTTTTTGTTTGTAGTTGATTTATTGTAAGAACCAAATGATAATAATAAAAATTGTTTGATTGATCCTAAAACTTTTCGGCAGAAGACACTCAGACGTCGATCTCCACCTTTCGGGAGTACAAAAAACTAAATGACATTCATATGATGCAATATCAAGGCCCACAAACGAATCAAGAAATTGTCAAAGTCATACTAATAAGTGGATTAGTAAGAGGTACGGGTACGTATTATTTTCGAAGAGAAGGGCCAACAGCAACTTAAGTAATCAAAAACATAATGCAGGTTACTGAATTACCTACAAGGAGTAAAAGGGCCTAATCACTTATAGAGCCAGAGAATAGTTAATAAAGGAATCGAATGGAAGATCTTCCACATGTAAACCCAAATACCTCCTTAGTAATTTAAATTCAAAATTTATATCGGTGCTATATGGCGCATTCTAAGTAGGAGTTTAATTTAACGTTTTGTGTACCGGAGATCTCATTGAGTGAACAAAGAAGAACTGAGATTTGCACAAAAACAACAACAATTTATTTTAAGGCATGCGGAAACGTAAAACTTTAAGTACCCAATTACAAGCATGAAATTCTGTCATTACACTTGGTATCCCTTTTTTTTATTTCACATCCCATTACCTTGACTTGAGGCGCATAAGTCTGAATCTCTGTCTCATCGTTCGATTTCCCAATCAATTTTTAATGAAAATCTCATTATGGTGAGACGATCCCGCAAAGAACCTACTAACAGTAAGGAAAATACACAAAAACCATACAGTTTTTTCTAAGGAAATCGACGAGAGTCAAGGTAAGCGGGTTCTATCCTAACCGGTCTCACGAATTGGTGATCGTGGGATAGTCTATCGATAAGTAGAACTTTTATGTAAATTTCTTTTAGCGCCCAATAAACTGTTAACAAAAAAATCTTTCATTCTCAGGTTGTAACGTTAACGTTGTACGCGTACTTCATCGCTGCGCTGATGGGACGACAGTTTATACCAGACGCGCCAAATTTGCATGAGAAGATCGAATCGCCCGATATGTACTTTCCGTTCTTCACCGTCTTGCAGTTTTGCTTTTACGTCGGATGGTTGAAGGTGGCTGAGGTATTGATCAATCCTTTCGGCGAGGACGACGACGACTTTGAGCTGAACTGGATGATTGATCGACATATCAAGGTGAGTATCGTGTAACGTGCAGTATGCATTTCTCTTCCATAAGTTGGACGCATCCAATCGTGGAACGATGGTAAAGAATTTTTAATATGGTGATTCGTACATCCGCCAGTTTTTGCATCATTATTTCAATTATTTCAAATTAAACTGGTGCTCTATCGCACCCAAAGATAATAGCCTGCATTATATGGTGTGTTAGTATTATTATAATAGGGTAGTTCTCGGTTTTCCCTTTTTCCAAGCTGCTGCTCCTTCAATTGAATCCTCAAAACCGATTATGTTGTTTTTTTTATAAATAATTATTACCGTAAGTAACACTTTGAAGGATAACTAGACTGCATTTCCTATTCCATACTGGTGTACTGGGTCTATATACACGTTTTACAAATCAGTAGGCAACAGGCTTACAAAATAATTAGCAAAGATCTACTTGGCGTAGGTCGTGGAGCAGTTTCGCTGTAGATTGAATCGAATGCCTTTGGAATGTTGGAGAAAACCTTGTGGTTTTTTATTAGTGGCCCAATTTCAGGCAATGGGCATTTATTGCACGAGTACGATGAGAAATACCTAAAATCGATTCGAGTAGAGTAGAAAAAAACCCAAAATACCATATGAGCTTACCCTGAATCCTTATTAAAATTTACTCCCATTTAGCTGGTGTCTAGGACGTAGCATCCATGTCTCGGTTCTTACATCGCACTAGAAAATATCGTGCCTTTAGACTGATGATGATATTTAATGACTTTTAAATCCCTAGAAACTGTTGTTTTATGTATTCATAAAAGCCCCTTCATGCCCTTCAAGATATAAAGGCTGTTAAAGATTTTTAAAAAGTACACAAACAAAAAATTTGGAAACTCTTTAAGATTACTAGCAATTTTTAAGAGCTTTAATAGTAGATTATATCACGAGTCAATACTGATAGCTATTATTCTCGAGGAATATTTACTAACTGAGCGAGGGAGTAAAATTCCGAGATTCTGCGTTGACTTTCGTAAGGTAAAGTTAGTGAGCACGACGCATATCCTCTTCCATACGCTAGCGATACCATAGAGAAACTGCGTGTTTGCACGATTTTTTACCACACTGGACATCAAATCTGCACTCTTTCAATTTAAGCGAATGCCATTTGGGACACACAACGTCCCGGTCACATGATAGTGTTTTATAGGTCGTGTCATTGGAGGTGATTTAGAGCCACATGTCTTTACTTTGATCAACATTCAAACATCTTAAGTAAAGTGCTTGTTAGACTCTTTAATGCCGGACTAACCCTCAGTAAAGAGAAATGTTGCTTTTGCACGCCATAACTTCGATACCCGAGGTACCTGGTGAATGGCAAAGGTCTTTTAGTGGACCCTGAAAGGGTTAATGCGATCCTAAAAATTCAAGATCTGATTTCCATAAAGTTCGCCGGATAGTAAGCATGTGTTCTTGGTATCGGAGATTTATCCCAAATTTCTCCCTTATAAATGCACCATTGAACATGCTAACACGAAAGAAAAGCAGTTACCAGTTTTGCGGGAGGTCCGTTTGTTAAGGAAAAGATTGTAACAGTACCTCTTCAGGGCACGTTTCTTAAGGTCTGTTGTCTGCAACTCTAAAACAACCCTTATGGGCTTTTGAAGGTGTTCGAAAAGTCTTAGACACTGTCGGGAGACTTCGAGAGACTTATGGAGGCCCTTAAATATTTATGCATGATTACATACCCTAAAAAGGTCGATTCTTACAACTTCTTAAAAACCCTTAAAAACTTTTGACAGAACTTTAAAAGCCTTTGGCAGGCTCATGGAGACTCTTGGAAGGAGTTGTAAACTATTTGCGACTCTTGAAGAGTTTCAGGTGCTCAAAAGCTTTTAAAGACTCTTCAATGTCTCTTAAACACATTTAAAGCGTGAGGATTTATTTTCAATGACCTTAGAAGAGCTTTGCAGTATTAAAAACATTGCATTGTGGATTCATAGAGACCGTGATTGAGAAAGCCTCCAAAAATCTCTTGGAAGGTCTTAGAAAGACTCTTAAAGATTAATAAACATTGCTTAAAGCTGGTGTCTTCAGGATTTTTAACAACTTGCAGATCCTTTATGTCATATAGGCTTCGAATTGAAAGTTTATGGTAGGCAAATCGTGATGGGTATTAATTACTTGAATTCTACAGGCCAAAATTACTTAAAAACCGTGTTTTACTGGTAGATCTACGACAAATTTTCTTCTTGTTAAATTTTAACGACATCTTAATGGTCTTAGCTCTGTTTCTGGTGTCTAGCCCCTAGAAGACCCTAACCATTTTAAAAACCATGTCTTGTAAAGTGGTAGAGTTCTTCAACATTTGTACAGGACCCCTAAAATCCATTGTATAGTTTTACAATCGCTCCCACTCCAGTGTAAACCCCCCCCCCCCAAAGAATTTCACCTTCAAAGAATTTTCCCAGGTTCTCCAGCAGCCGAAAAGGTATGCAAAATCGGGTATTGACATGCCCTCGCGTAAAGATGGAATCTCGCGCCGTCGGGTATCATGACAATAGCAACCCCTTTCCTACAACCCAATCCAACTACTAGTCACCCCCAAGAAAACCAAATCCAGTGCCCACCCAGAAGAAAGAAACCCTACAGTTTCAAGTGATGCAGCACCAAAATCCCCAAAATAAAGAAACCCCCCTCCCTGACTAAAAACGACACAAAAGCCCAAATTTTGACCCCCTTGCCGAAAAAGTGTAGAAGGAAACCCCCAAAAAGAAGGTACCTTTCCAACCCAACTCCACCATGCACTAGCGCAATGAAATGAAGAAGAAGTTTTTCTTGGCTCTTAGTAATTGTTCACGACACTAAAAGGCTCTTAAATACTTTTAATTATCCTTAAAAAAGGCTCTTAAGGCAACTAGAAAGTCGCCCTTGCTATTAAAAGCTTGGAGAGAATACATTTTGTGATTCTTAAACAGTCTTAAGCTTCTTAAAGTTTATTAAAAGTTTCTTGAAGACTTTTAAATGGTATTAAAGGCTTTTTAAGGTTAATGTTGGCTTTAAAAGCTGTGAAAGACCTCGACAAGAAGATTACAATGGACTCCACTTGTTGGTTTTTGAAGTATGTTGCAGACTTTCGAAACCTCTTGAAAGCTTTCAAAGTCTAACAGCCCCGTGGTGCATCTTGAAAGTTTTCGAAAGTTCTTTAAAGATTATTAAGTGCTATTAAAGGTCCTGAAAAACTGTAGAATACTGAAAGAGCTTTGAAAAATCTGAAAGGCTAATAAACGGCAACGTCGTTAAATTTTTTTGGAGGGCCACAACTTGCATTGATTTTAAAGTTCTTGAAAGACTGATTTTTGTAGATTTTTGAAGTCTTTATTAGAACACTTTAGGTCTTAGAAGGTCCTAGAAGTATGTCTCTTACACACTCTCAGAGTAGGTAGGTAAACTGTTTTGTAGAAATATTAAGGGTGTAAACCACCCCTGAATCCTCCACTTACACAAGGCGGGGTGAAGTGTAACTAATTGGTGGACATACGTTTAAAAATAAAGTGCCTAAGATCCCGAACGTCACATTAATTTTCCAGGAGAATCAAAATTGAGACTACCAATTAAAAAATGGCGTTTCTTTACAGGCTGGCTATATGATTGTAGACGAAATGCACGAAGAACACCCAGAACTCCTCAAAGATCAGTATTGGGACGAGGTGGTGCCCAAAGAGTTACCCTACACCGTAGCGTCGGAACATTACCGCAGAGAAGAACCGAAGGGATCCGCTGAGAAATATAAAGTAAAGTCAGCGGACGCAATGTACGCTAATTTGGTGACTCCCCATAGGAAGATAATGGTCGATGATGCGTACGCCGATTATGTAAGGACTGTATTTTAAAAAGGTGGCGTCGTGTAATTGTGTATCTTTTAGGAGAGCGTCGACACTCCAATTGTAGAGAGGCGTAAAAACTCGAATTGGTTTAGTCGGCAGATTTCGAAGACGCGAGCGTCGGTGCGATCTATGTCGACCGCGTATTCGTCTGGAGGTCTGTTCGCGCGTCATCGTGGCAATTCCGTATACGCCAGTCCGGAAACTGGACAATTGCCCGGACAGGTTCCTCCGCAAAAGATGTCGATTTATGATCGACTTGTCGGTCGAAGATCAAGTAGAACCCAGAAGCTCGCGAAACAAGGTAATTGACGTGACAATTGCGCAAGATCGTTAATCTTCTCATTTCAGGGGGAGGAAAGCTGAATGGTGGAACTGGCCCGATTAATGTCAAAAACAGACCAAGGATACCGACGCCGGATGTAACCAAGGAAGTAATCGACAAAGAAAGTCGCTTTATTTCCGCCCCAACACTACAAAACCAGATGCCTCCAAGCGTGGCACTAGTTCCTCATCATTTATCCTCTCCATATACTGGAGAGATGCCCGTCCTTCAGGTGGTGCTGTCTCCTATTCAGGAACTAGACGGTACCGGCTCTGTAAACAATACTCTCCACGCGGGCCAGCCAGGCACAGCGGCGCTTGCCCAGGCGGTTTTGTCTCCTGGACTAGGTCCAGTATTAACCACCCCCGTTAGTCTCCCTATGACAGTCAGTCAACTTACATCCCTCGGGCTAACGTCCAACGCAGCTAGTCCACTGCTAACCACCACCAACGTAAATATACAACCCAAAAGTCCCATATTCGTGCGCGCGTTTCACCCACCCACCCACACACCACCAGTACAGCACCACGTCGCACTCACAGAGCTGCACACACTAGACGACGAGACGGAAAGAAACATCAGCAGTCGAAGCAGCGAGGCATCCGCGGCGTCCGACGTCTCACACGCGTCAAAGGAAAGCAAAACCTCACACGCGTCAAACACGACGGCCTCAATTGCCTCAAAGAAATCGAACGAGTATGAAGACCACGAGGAGGTCATCAACAAGGGCGACTTAGTCAGCCTACTTCCCAGCATGTCCTCCCCAAGTTCGATCACCTCCTTCATATCGCACGAAGACAATCGAAGCAGGAAGACTTCGATAGCGTCCCAAAACAATACAGGTTCCGCAAAAAGAGGGGAGGTGTACGTTTAATACTATCCACTGAATTAATTTATTTGACGTTGAAATTGTATGCAGGGTAATTTAGTCATGATGGAATGCCTAGGAAATGCTTTCCTAAGAGGAAATTATGAGTACTTAGAATATTTATAAAGTGATACCTACTTATCTTAGAGTAATGTGATTTGTTGCCATGAAGATGTTGGCGTAATGTATGTATAGTTAATGTACTTCCAAATTGTAGGGTCTGAAATTAGGAATTTAGGTTCAACGTTTTGAAATTATAATTAAAGACTTGGATTACTTTTAAGGTAGAGAATTGAGAGTGCTATACTTTTTGATAAACTCCGCGTGTGTTTGACTGTAAGAATATTTTTTAGATTTGGGAATTAGAAAAGATGTGGATCTTGTCAGTTACATTCATGAAATATTATTTTGTTTGTGTTTTTATTAATAAATGCATTTATTTTCATTTACTATTCCAAACCTATTCTAAGGGCAGAGCTGGGCAGTATTCGATTTTGTAAATACTTTTTAGTATTCAAATTCATTAAAGTAATCAAATACTTTGTAATTAACTTTTGTGGAAGCAGTATTTGTATTTGTAACTCAAATACTTTCACAAATATTTAGTATTCGAATACTTCGCAAAGTATTTGGATACTTCGTAAAGTATTCGAATACTTCGCAAGGTATTTGAATACTTTGAGAAGTATTCGAATACTACGCATAGTATTTGAATACTTTGAGAAGTATTCGAATACTACGCATAGTATTTGAATACTTAACCTTCCCTTTTACCTCGCTTTTTACCAAAAAATCGACTACTCCAAAATTTCTCGGGAAAACACTTTTTCTTATTAATTTTCGTGCGTAGAATCCAAAACAATTCGTACTTTTTCCATCAGACTTCTCAATAAAAATTTATAGACTAGAAACCAATTTCGAAAGAAAATTCAAAGGGCTGTAACTTTCGAACAAGTAGCCCACTCTTGGAACTGTTTGAAATTATGGATTCTAGAAGCCACATTCTATAAGAAAATTTTTTCCGGGTCGATCTGAAACAATTTTTTTGTCGGACCTCAAAAAAAGGCAATGTATAACCTTCCTTCTTTACAAAAAATCGACTGCACCAAAATTTCTCGGGAAAACACTTTGGCTTATTAATTTTCGTGCGTAGAATCCAAAACAATTCGTACTTTTTCGATCAGACTTCTCAATAAAAATTTATAGACTAGAAACCAATTTTGAAAAAAAATTCAAAGGGCTGTAACTTTTGATTTAATAGCCCAATCTTGGAACTTTAAAATCATGGATTCTACAGGCCACATTCTATAAGAATTTTTTTCCGGGTCGAGCTGAGACAATTTTTTTGTTGGGCCTCAAAAAAAGGCAGTGTATAACCTTCCTTTTTTTCCAAAAATCGACTGCCCCAAAATTTCCCGGGAAAACACTTTCTCATATTAATTTTGGTGCGTAGAATCCAAAACAATTCGTACTTTTTCCATCAGACTTCTCAATCAAAGGTTATAGACTAGAAACAAATTTCGAAAAAAAATTCAAAGAGCTGTAACTTTCAAACTAGTAACCCAATCTTGGAACTGTTTGAAATTATGGATTCTACAGGCACATTCTATAAGAAAATTTTTTTCCGGTCGATCTGAGACAATTTTTTTTCGGGCTCAAAAAAAGGCAGTGTATAACCTTCCTTTTTTACCAAAAATCGACTACACCAAAATTTCTCGGGAAAACACTTTTTCTTATTATTTTTGGTGCGTAGAATCCAAAACAATTCGTACTTTTTCGATGAGACTTCTCATTCAAAGGTTATAAGACTAGAAACAAATTTTGAAAAAAAATTCAAAGAGCTGTAACTTTCGAACTAGTAGCCCAATCTTGGAACTGTTTGAAATTATGGATTCTACAGGCCACATTCTATAAGAAAATTTTTTTCCGGGTCGATCTGAGACAATTTTTTTGTTCGGGGCTCAAAAAAAGGCAGTGTATAACCTTCCTTTTTTACCAAAAATCGACTACACCAAAATTTCTCGGGAAAACACTTTTTCTTATTAATTTTGGTGCGTAGAATCCAAAACAATTCGTACTTTTTCGATCAGACTTCTCAATTCAAAGGTTATAAGACTAGAAACCAATTTAGAAAAAAAATTCAAAGGGCTGTAACTTTTGATCTAGTAGTCGAATCTTGGAACTGTTTGAAATTATGGATTCTACAGGCCACAGTCTATTAGAAAATGTTTTTTTCCGGGTTGATCTGAGACAATTTTTTGTCGGGCCTCAAAAAAAGGCAGTGTATAAACCTTCCTTTTTTACCAAAAATTGACTGCACCAAAATTTCTCGGGAAAACACTTTTTGACATTAATTTTGGTGCGTAGAATCTAGAACAATTCGTACTTTTTCGATCAGACTTCTCAATAAAAATTTATAGGCTAGAAACCAATTTAGAAAAAAAATTCAAAGGGCTGTAACTTTTGATCTAGTAGTCCAATCTTGGAACTGTTTGAAATTATGGATTCTACAGGCCACAGTCTATAAGAAAATGTTTTTTCCGGGTTGATCTGAGACAATTTTTTGTCGGGTCTCAAAAAAAGGCAGTGTATAACCTTCCTTTTTTTACCAAAAATTGACTGCACCAAAATTTCTCGGGAAAACACTTTTTCACATTAATTTTGGTGCGTAGAATCCAAAACAATTCGTACTTTTTCCATCAGACTTCTCAATAAAAAGTTATAGACTAGAAACGAATTTCGAAAAAAAAATCAAAGGGGTGTAACTTTTGAACTAGTAGCCCAATCTTGGAACTGTTTGAAATTATGGATTCTACGGGCCACATTCTATAAGAAAATTTTTTTCCGGGTCGATCTGAGACAATTTTTTGGTTGGGCCTCAAAAAAGGCTTCCTTTTTTACCAAAAATCGACTACACCAAAATTTGTCGGGAAAACACTTTGTCTTATTAATTTTGGTGCGTAGAATCCAAAACAATTCGTACTTTTTCGATCAGACTTTTTCAATCTCCAAGTTTCCGAACCATACCGAACGATAGAAGAACACAGAATCATTTGCGATTAAATAGGCGGGAAAACAATTCGCAAACGGCAAACAAGGCACTGAAGACCATTAAGAACAAATTGATACTTTGTAATTTATTGTAGTTGCAAATTTTACATTTTTGTCATAACAGTATAAAAAATAAACATAGTACATTTTCAGTTATTGCTAATTGCGACAAAATGTAATTACATTAACATCTAATGGCGTTGTATGGTTCAGCCCGGACCTTGTGATTTTTCCTGGTCTTTAACTTTCCCCCACCATTACTCCTTGAACCGACAACTCCTAGATCAAATGGCATCGCCGTCTGTTCTAAACTGTTCAGTTCCGCATGTCTTCTAATATGCAACTGGCGTATTTTTACGACTTTTTTAACATTTCTAGCAAACGGTTGAGGGGTTTCTTCGCGCATAACATCGACACCCATTTTTGCGTTTGTAACTGCCTCCCTCCACATTTTCCTCTCTTCAATAATGCGCTTTCGAATTCTGCGACGTAGGACTGGATCTCCCTTGCAAATCTTCATGAAATACTTGCTAGCCAAAGCCGCATTCAGCAACGACTTGTCGTCCAAATACCTGCAACGTATAAAATACAGTCAGAAAAATATATTACAATGAAGAATATGCAACTTACCGAAAGGTTTCAGCCAACATTTCTACTGGAAGCACACAGAGGGCAGGTAACGAGAAAGCTATCAACGAAAACATTCTGCACCGCAACGCAACTGCAACTAATGAAAGGTGTGGGGTGTGAAAGGGTTTTATACGTTCTAGAGAGATGTACATTAAGGGTTGCTCTCGCTTTTGATTGGTTGGGGGTGTGAAAGTTGCCTTTCACTTTCTAAGGTGGTAGAAACTTTCACTTTCACATTTCATCAATATGCTCATAACCGAACTAAAGCCAAAAGTTCAGAAATATAACTTCGGATTACCTATGCATCCTTAGTTTCTGTTAAAGTTCCTTGGGGAGCCTTCAAATTCTTCCGAAGCTTCGGATTCGCTAAAGTATTTGGATTTCTTTCGTCCTTCGGTGTTTTATGATTCTTCTGATCCTTTAGTGGCATTTATTTTCTTTTGTTTTGCGTATCACCTTAGATTATTCAGTTTGTTGAAATGTATTAGATCTTAGATGCTTTGGAATATTCAATATTTATCATTTCTTTGGATATTTACAATTCTTCGACTTCTTACTCGATCTTTTAGTTTCTGAAATTCATTAGATCCATGACATCTACCAAATTAGGTACTAAGTACTTTTGGATTGTTTCTTTTCAAATTTTCTGTTTCTTCCAATTTTTCAGTTTCTTCAAATTCTTTAGATTCTTATGGTTCTGCGAATTGCTTCATTTCTCGCCTTCTGCTGATTTTTTATATTCGTAGGATCCATAATATAATAATACGAGTATCCTATGTAGTCTATGTTGAATCCTTTTAATGTCTTGGAAGTTTTTTATATTTTTATACATTTTTTCAATCCTTTCAGATTGGTCCGATTCTTCAGTTTGCATAGACTCTTCGGATCATAATCTTTCAATTTTTCGAATCTTCTTTCCTATCGTCCAGTTCTCCATTTTTTAGAGTCTCCAGATCCACAGGGTCGTTCGGATTTATAAAAGTCAGTCTCTTTAGAATACCTCGAATTATTCAACTTCTTCCGTTCCTTTAAATTCTTACGATTCATTATCTTCTTAATAAGGTCCTTTATATTCTCAAACTTCTTCCGTTTTTCGATTTCCAATTGCATGCTTCGTGGTTACTCCGAAATTCAAATCGTGCGGTACACGTATGCTATAACTCTGTCAATTGCGCCATAACAATTACATTCCAAACACCTTGATGTGAAAAACCAATGAGAGTCATTTTTCGATTATTGAGCACCAAATGCACCAGGCGCATATAAGTGGGTTGAACCTCCCTTCTTGAAACTGTTTAAGTAAACTCGAAAATTCTTTAGAAAAATACTTGACCAACGGCTAGCTATGTGAAATAATTTTTTAGTA